TTTTTCGTCACATTCTGACCTATACTTTTGATTTGTTTTTCTGCCTGTTATTATTTGTTTTGGTATTTACTATACTGTGACCTGCACATGTCTAGTTTCTAAAGTAAAAATTAGAAGAAAATATATTAACGTATATATGTGTTCTGTATTTTGTCCTATACATTTTTGCTTCAAACCTAAAAATAGATATTCAATGTTTAAGGCATATTCTAAACATATGATTCAACTCCTAATTAATTTTAGTTTGATGTTTTAAGTCAACAAAAACTTCCGAAATGACAGAGTGATTAAAAAATGTTTACCAACCACTGTAAAAATCTCATTAAAAACATTTGACATTTTATAAAACAAATTTATGGGTATCTGTTGAAGCTTGAGCTATTTTGCAAAATTACCGAACATTCCTGTGCCTGAACATATCCTCAAAGGCTTCACCTGTAGCTTTAACAAAAGGTGGCCTTAAAGTCATTTTTTTTAAAAAGAAAAGCATTGTCTTTAATTTCCCAATTGTGTTATACTGTATTGATTGAATAAATAATGTAGTTTTTTTATTGTAACATGAGAAAATTTGAGAGTATTTATTGTACATGAATATTTTTGCAAGGCCCCAATTTCAAAGAAAGGTGCTTCAAGCTTTTCTTGCGTAAGTGCAAAGATCCATCACATCCTCCTCATTATAATCTAACACCAATCCTTAGTCACTGTTCAGTTCAAGCTGACTGTTGACTGGGAACATGAACAATTCAAAGATCATTTCAGAACTGTCAATGGCTCACTGCAAGTTTTTCAATCACCCCTGAATCCAACATTTTGCACACTCATTCTTGGAATCATATGTTGCCAAGTTAATATTTATATCCAGTGTTTACTGTAACAGAGGCTTTTTATACAAAGACTACAATGAAAATGGCACAAGTGATGTGGCACAGTGTGTGGGAGGACTGCTGGAGTGGCTGGAAAATGGGACACCGGCATAAGCACCAGAGACATCGGGCTTTTGTTTTTGCCTCTAAATATATTAAATTCAGCTTCCTGTGGCTGTTCAGACACTATGAGGGTGAGAGAGGGAGATGACATAATCAGTCCTTGGAGAGGCATATTTCCTTTTGTTGGTGTCTTAAGCTTTTTATGCCCTCTTGCTGACACTTTATAAACTGCAATTTAAAATGGAGGTTCCTTGCTATGCAGATAAGCAAAATTAGGGTTTCTGCTTATCAGTTCCTCATTGGAGTAGTTACAGTACCTGTATTTTTTTTAAGCATAACAGTTAATTTGTTGTACTTTGTTTGGGAAATGTGTCTTTTTTATAGCAGCGAGAAGGGGAAATAGCATTCATAATAGAATAATTTAATGAAAATCAGAAAATGACTTTAAGGCGAAAATACATAAATGAATAAATAATTAAGGGAAAGGAAAAGACCTGCTAAAGACATTTTAGATGCAAACCCTAAATACTGTGTAGCATTTTATCATGTCTTTTTTTCTGTTGATATTCCAGATACAGGCCCATTTGAGATACATCAACATGTGATCACATATTAGTCTCAGCACCCCACATTCCAATCATGACAGCAGTAAATCATAACTTTCTTGCCATAGAAAACCTGTGCATATTCAAATGTTAAGTGAAAGTAATTCGAAGACTTTTACATTTATATGTCTAGTCGATTTATATTTTGGTTGGTGTATGTTACCTTCAAAAGATGTTATCCTGGTGTGAACGATGGCTTAATGGAATTGCTTAATTTTTTTATGATGCAATGCTTTGACATTTTTAAGGTAATGGATAGTGTTACAATGACTGCATTGCTCAAGTTCATTTTAGGCAATACTTCAAAGAGGTTGCCACATCATCAGGTGTGGAACAAATTAAATGTGGGAAGTTTTGATAAAAATTCCCTTGTGCAATCTCGATATGATATAGAATTAGTTTAACAATACTGATGGCATTAAGCCCGAAGCATTGAATGCAAAAGAGTTTAGATTAGAGCCATTTAGTCTTATTGTTGTTACTCCCCACAATACAGTATTTGTGGGTTTCCATCCTTCCAGGAAAATAACTATGGTCAGGGCATTAAAATGACTCAGATCCACGTGTAAATATTTTATCCTTAAAGTCTGTGTTGAAAGGAGGGATCTTTATGGTTTGGCCCCACTACACTGATTCTCTCAGATTCCATCAGATTATTATCTGGGTTGTTTTAGACTGGGTCAAATCCTCACTCATCTTTTGATGTGCTGTATAGTACTTGTTTTCTTTTTTTAAAGACTTGCTGATATCCTGCTCTTTGGCAGCTCTGATATTTTGAGAATATAACAGTTCTTTAGAAATGTTTGAATGTATGGCAAATATCAGTGTTCCTTACAATTAGATTTAGTGTATCATACAAAGATCAGTATATTAAATAAGTGCATTTGTAGAAAAAGAAAATTAAAAGACAAATGCTTAGAAAACTGCTAAATGTTTGCATTTTAACCAGGGTTGTGTTTGTTATCGCTGTTGCACATTACTATTGTTTATTTTACCAATGAAGTCATCTGGGCATATTGTTTGTTGTAGTTATTGTAATTTCTGTTTAATAGTACTAAATAAATAAAGACAAGAGTAATTGATTGAAAGATAAACTTTTTCAATCCTTTGTCTACTTCAGCAGTGTTGCCATGGATGGCTGTCTTGTCTACAGCCAGTTATTCTGGGAAATAACTGCCTGTGGGCTTTAACTGTGTGGCTGCCAGGTAGCGAATCTTGCCTTTGAGACCTTTGGACTCAGCACTCTCATTACTGTCATTTTTGCAGCAGCTGTTTTCAAGCAAAGAAGACTTATTTCAGCTCAAGAATCAACCTCCATCTGGTAAAACTAAGTGTAAAGAGTTGCAATTAAGTAGATAAAACACAGATTATAAAGGGCAGAGATCATAAATTGCCTTTGGCAACGGTGGGAAAAATATGGAGCTTCAGGAAATAAGAAGACACTCTTCAGATTACCACAACAATCACTGAAATTATTTAAAAGAAACACATTACAGCCATGTGCATTGCCAAAGTATGTAGCTGTAACACACTATTAGACATCTAAATACTTATTAAAAGGTTGCTGTAAAATAAATATTCTGACGAGTCACTTTGTAGCAGCCGTTAAAATCTTTAAAAGTTTTTTTTTTCCCTCTTGGTTGATCAGGCTCTTAGCTTACAGCAGTATTAAAGTATTCATTTCCATGTCTGAAATAAAAAAAAAGTGCAAAGAAGTTTGAAAGGAAGAAAGAGGCACAAAATCTGAAAAAAAGGAATATGGAAATATTAAATTCTAAAACAGGGAACCCTCTGTTTTCCCTTTTGGCAATCTCCCTTCCCCTAGCTCTCTTCTCCTGTCCACACCTGCTCCCAATCGGTTTAGTACACCAGTCTTTGTTTTGTTTGGAATTTATACCCCACCTCTTCTGTTAGTGATTGCTGGTTTCTCATTATTTCTTTGGTCCTTGTGTGTGTTTTCCCTGACATCTCTCATTTTTTTCGTTTTCTCTATTTGCTTTTGGACTTCGCTTCTGATACGTTTGGAACTGCATTAAACCAGCAAAGACTTATCTCTGCCTTGTTCTGTCTCTGCATTTGGGTCCTCCAAAACCTCTACACAACCTGACACAAAGGCTATCCAGAAAAAACATTTTCACTTCATAAGAATTCATGAGGTGAAGATTTATATTGAGAATAATCCTGCAAAAAAAGGATAACTAAAAAAGAAAAAAAAGAAAAAATTCAAGTGCACACTGAAGTGGGGTGCACCACGCTTAACAAAATTGTCCAAGGTAAAAAAATAATCTGTGGGCTTTAGCAGGCACCTGCACCAGCAGAGAACACAATCCTACATACTTTCACACAAAATCATTTAAAATGGCTGCTTTTCCATTTAACATCTTCCCATTAGAATATTCTCATGATTTTCGTTGCTGTCCATTTTCTGTTTGCAAAAATGAGAAATGATCTATGTCTCCTGACAACATATCTTCAACCTGCCTGTATTATCTGTTTTAGAGGGTGTTGTTTTAGGTTTTTTTTCTCATTCTCAGGATGGCATTCTATGATTATATTTGCACTTTGGAAAACAAACAGTAATATATTTCTTTAATTATTTAGTGAATTTTAAATAATAAAAGATATTCTAACTCTAAAATGTGAGGATTTCTTTTCAGCAGAAGAAAGTGTAAACTGTTTATTCAAGATTTCAATATCTTGATAGTCTCTTTTATGAAAATACATAATTTATTTTACTTGTTAGTCATTCAGGTCACTGGCAAGAAGCTATTTATAATAAGGAAAATTACAATTACATTTTGGGCAGTATCAGGTTTATGTGAGAAGGCTGCAGTGTCATTGTAAGCCTGTGATCATGCTAATCCAGCTGATTAGATAATACTGTTCTTACCAACCTTTCCATCAGACTGAACACCCAATTTGCAAACAAACTGACTGTATTAAAGTAAAGAAGAAATATGTTACCGTGGGCAACAGTCTGAGACATTGCTTTTTGTCAGATCATATATAAAGTCCCGCTGACAGCCAGGATCAGAGAGTAAATTAGAAGAATAAAACTGGCATTCTGAAATCCTTAAGGCCTTGTCACAAATGACTCATTCTGTGCTTTCTGTCCTAGAAAAATAAAACCACTGAATCAAGTGTTTGAGGAACGTTTTGTCCTTGCAGTTTTTAAAGCAGATCACGTGTTGAACACCTTGTGATAAATGTACACATCAAAAGCATGTTTATTAAGGTCGGTTTGATGTTTGACTGATAATTCTGGTGACCTAGAGACTTTTCTTCCATCTGCTAGAAATATTTGTGCATTTGTAGACTTTTTCCAAGTATAGGTGACATATAAAAGGAAATATCAGAGGTGGACTGTTCTCTGTTTGTGGCCCAAAGATTTAAAAATAAATGTTCTCTCACTAAGCACATGTTCCTTTAGGCTGAAGGATTTAATGACTCACCTAAGACGACGAGCAGCAGATAAGATTTTCCCCTCCCCCTCTTGCCAAAGCACAGGATCATTTACTCCGACGGCAGCGCAGTGCCAATGATTTTTCAATTTCCATGTTCCTCCTGGGTTTCCTGAAACATATTGAGACTCCTGCCCTGAGTAATGGCTTTTTGTGACTGTCGAGGTAGCTTCTAGTTACAATTTACAACTGCTGCTATCTTCAGAAACCACTGTGGAATACACATGTTTCAACAACTATATCAGAGAGGTGACAGGCATGGCTGGAACAAAATGGACACATGTGGGGGTGGCTGGGGGCAGTTTTTAGAAGTGTGCCAAATTTGGGTTACACTAAGACGCTCATGATTTCTGATGTCGGAAAAATAGAAAATAAAAAAAATACTACTTTGCCATTTAGTTTAAAAATGAGACAACTAAAGCCGTGCTAATAACGGCTTCAATAGTGTTTTACTGTATAATTTCCTGCATAAATGACCTGCGGGGCTATAGGTCTCATTAGAAACATACTTTGGCGCAATGTGCTTTATTGCCACGGTTAATTTTATTAGGGCCCGTTAAGCTAAGTGGAGCTTTATGCTGCCAGCAGTCATGCTGGTTGAATCAGCGGTTTATAAAAGCCCAAACAACCCTCTGAAATCTGCCCCCTGCAAACAAAAAAATAAAAAAAAAGATGACAAAGTTTGGTTTGCAGCCCTCTTCTGAATAGCTTCTGAAATTGTGCATCACTAAATCCAGGTGTTTTGGCATAAACTAATCAACTGAAATAATTTATGACTGATAAAAACTGGTAGAAAGAGAAGGTGTTTAAAATAAATAAAAATATGAGGCCATGTGAGACATGCACTGATTGTGGGTTCTTTTTAGTGGACACCAAAGTTATTATAAGACCAATTACCCTTCTACTCTTGGTGCAACATTTGAAAAACAGCAGACAAATGAAGCATTCTGTCGCAAGTAAGGACATTCATGGTTGCTTTTGTTTTTAATTGTACTCTGCTTTTACTGTGAGTAAGCGGATAATAGAAAAACTATTAGTAGTTTTTTGAAAGAGTGTAGCACAACTCATCTTTTAGTGGAGAACATAAATACACAACAATAATTACCCAATTTCATGTGTAAGTCTTTTACTGGGTCTTTTCTTTTCTCAAATAAAGCTTCTTTTAGCTGGAAAGCAGACAAAGCAATCCATACCAACAGTAATGTAAAAAAAAAAATAATAATAAATAAATAAATAAAAATCCAACCCCCAAGAGGAAAAAAATATCCAAAACCTGCTTATATCGAGGTTCCCTAACAAAATCTTCAAATTTTAAAAGTATTTTGAGCTTTTTTTTTTTTAGAGTAAATTCCTATAAGTTTAACACTTAAAGGAAAAAAATAGACAACTCTTAGTTTTGAGAAGTGCAGCTAAAGGGTTTGGCCTCAGTTTTAGACCACCTCTATTTGGTCTAGAAGTCAGTTACTTAGACCCGATCCAATTCATTCTCCAATAATTAATCTCATGATATGCTACACTCGGAACTTTGTATTTTACAGAGATGCCAACTAAAATAAAATTTTACATAAAGACTGATAGCAAATTGAGGATTATACTATGGCTTAACTGGATTTAAAGTTTCCTGGTGTTTCTTTTGGTAGACCATGCACTCTATGGACTGTCTTTTAGTGCTGAGGCTATTTTTGATAGTTTTACATGTTTACATGTAGATCTAAAAGAAACACAAAGACTGACATAAATATTTACAAATACTTACATGTTTTAGTATTTAAATAAGAAGAAGATTCCACTACATTACCCTGCATAGAGATACATCACCTAAAAAAAAAAGAGACATTCTATAATTCTATTCAAAGTCAGTAGTTTTAAAACACATGGTAACATCTACAATTAAAGTGTGCTACAGTATGCATGTAAAGCTTTTTTTGTTATTGTTGTAACCATTTCTATACATGGAAATGGCATTTACGAGTCCTGATTTGAAAATCTCTTTGGTAACAACTTCCATAGGAAGGACAAGGAGGCGTAAAAAACTATATATGTATAGCTTTCTTAGATTATTGTGTAGCTTAGCAGAACATAACTTTGTATTTCAACATCAAACTAAACCATTATCAGTGCAATGAATTGTTGGGATCTGGAGGTCTGTCCACCTTCCTCCAGCAGAGGGCGCCCTAGGGTCTCCTGGAGCTGAGCTGACGACCACACCTGCGATCCATCAGTCATCAGGAGACCAGCATATAAGCAGCGGCAGGACTTAACTCTAGCGCCAGAAATAGGAGTAGCCTTTATCATACCAGAATTTAATGTTAAAATTAGGAAAAGGATAAGTGATGGACTTTCAGTTTATACGGGAGAAATGATTGCAATATTATTAGCTGTTCAATGGGTGGAAGAAGTTAAGCCATTAAGATCAGTCATATGTTCAGATTCTAGTTCATCTTTAATTAGTTTGCAGTATAGTCACTCAGAAAGCAGGCCAGATATTTTAATAGAAATTCAACAGACACTATATAGAATAAATATGATGGGTTTAGTTATAAATTTTGTATGAATACCGGCACATTATGGAATTAAAGGACAAGTAGATAAGGCAGCAAAAGAAGCTGTTAAAAATGTGTCAGTGGATTTATTTGTTAATTTTAGCAAATCTGAAGTTAAAATGTTAATTAAACAGAAAATAAAGGATAAATGGCAAAAGGAATGGGAGAAAGGAAATAAAGGACGTTGGTTTTATAAAATTCAAAAGAAAATTGGAGAAATGAGAAGAACAGAAAGAACAAGAAGAGAAGAAACAATCATTTCTAGATTGAGGTTTGGTCATACCGGATTAAATGGTACTCTGTTTATCTTAGGAAAACATAGGAATGGGAAATGTGAATATTGTGGGGTAGATGAAACAGTTGAGCACGTGATGTTATACTGTAACAAATATGAGGAGGAGAGAAAGCAATTCATTCAAAATTTGAGTAAAGTAAAAGTTAAATTAGATTTAGTTCAATTATTCAGAAGTTATTCAGATAGTAATATTTACAGTATAGTATTTCGATATCTAAAAATAACACATTTATATAATAGAATTTAATTCCTGAGAGTCATTCTGGTCCACACTCCATTCCAGTAGATGGCGGAAATGCATCTATCTGTTGTTTGCCAACCGCCAAAACTATCAAAGAAGAAGAAGAAGAAGAACTCTAGCGCCAGAGTGTTAAGCCAGTTATGGTTAGCGAAGCCTGAGCCAACCAGTCTGTCTGATTCTCTGACTCCCTTGAAACCTGAACTTGAACCTAATCAGTTTTTGTCTTCTCTGCCTCCTAGGAAGAAACCTGACTGAACCCTGAAACTCTGGAAGAGTTTTCTCTGCTGAAATCTGCCTGCTGGCGTTCAGGAGCTAATCTGAAGAATCAAACTGTCTGAACCTGCCGGCCCGCCCTCAAGAAGAGGATCGGAAGAAAACTCTGGATCTGAACACTGATAAGTCTGAAGTCGAGCCCTGCCGCTGCTTAGCCCTCAGCCAACTTCTAGCCTCTGGACCCACCTGGTTCCCTCCCTCAGCTGCTAAACCAGAATCACGTCACAGGTACAAACCTGCACAATTCCTCTGGCAAAGATCTACCGCATCCTGGCTAACCTAACTGTCCCTCTCTACAGAGAACCCTGTGTGACCAGTCCCGGATCTGTTTCTCTGCAACTTTCATATAACTTTGTGTTTATTTCTATAAACAGTCAAACTTTTCATCTGCCTCCGTTGTGTTCTGCATGTGGGTTAGAACTCTGAATCCCATCATGACATGAATAGCCTAACTGCATATGCTTTATCTGTTTTAAACCTTTTTTGGTGTATTTCTGTGATTAATACTTCAAGAAAACATTGATTAGATTCACTACAAAATTAAACAAAATAGACTTGATTGTATATGTGGCTGATATATACTTAAATAGATATGTTGTTAATCGTGTTTCCTTTACTAAACCCTTTTATTTTTTTAATCTATTCCCATTCAAATATTCTCTGCAATAGCTTGGTTGTTGCATCTGAAATTAATCTTGGGTGTAGCTAAATAGCAAGTAACGGGTGATGGTAAATAAAATCCAAAGCTTTATAAAGTAACTTGGCAATAAATTAAACAGATATTGGTTCAAGAGTGGTAAAATATATATATATATATATATATTGAAACATTGTTTTTGCATCTTAAGCAGCAATCCATAACACAGTTCCACCTTTGTGAACCAACCCTTCATCATCTAAGCTCAGCAGCTCCACGCTACCTCCTCCGTGTTCTTTGCATTTCAATGGCAGCATTAGCATAACACTATCAGGCCTGGCATAGCTGATATAACATTTTAGATGATTTCCTGTGTTTTTGTCAGACGTCTCGGATATGTCAATAAAAGACTAGTTAGAATTTAAAGAAAATAAATGCTCTTTTAGGAAACTGTCTGTTCAAGGCCATTAGTTACAGAAACGGTTCATGTATTTGTTTGTCGAAACAGAAATAGAAATAAATAAATACATGTTTGAAAAAGCTTTTGTTTTATGGTGGAGTCCATAAATATAAAACATGTTTTTGGGCCATTGCCCATTCAGAAACATTTGATAGATCCCATAGGCATAAATGCAATGATAGCCAATAGAGAAAAGATGTAGGTTCTCTTTTATTGTTCCATTTTAATGTAAAAATAAAACAATGATAAACCTGTCCTTGGGGATACAGAGTGGAGCAGTGGGTAGCACTGCTGCCTTGCAGCAAGAAGGTTCAGGTTTCCATTCCTTGATCGGGGTATTTCTGCATGGAGTTTGCATGTTCTCCCTGAGCGGCATGGATTTTCTCCCATAGTCATAAAAAAATTGACTGTTAGGTTAATTGGCTTCTTTAAACTCCTTAGGTGTCAGTGTGTGCGTTAATGGTTGTGTTACCTGTTTGTCTCTGTGTTGCTATGTGATAGACTGGCAACCCTTCCAAGGTGTACCCCGCCTATCGTCCATTGACAGCTGGAGATACTGTAGGCACCAGCACCCGTCATGTCCCTAGCAGGGATAAGCATGACAGAAAATGGATGGATGGATAAATCTGCCCATAAAACAAAAAACAACTGTGTTTTTTGTAG